AATGAGAACTCTAATCAGAGATTTTGGAGGAATCTACACATTGATTTCCACAGTGGTTGTACCAACCCACCCTCCCACCAACACTGGAGGAGTGTTCCTTTTTCCCCACCACTCCACCAGCATTTGGTATTGTTTGTGATTTCTTAAAGATAGCCATTCTTAGGGTTGGCCAAATAGCTCAGCAGACTAAAGTGCCTGCTTAGACAGGGCGCAGCACCCAGGGCTGATTTCCAGTTTGCTGTGCCGGCCCCGCCCCCAGGGCACACTGAGAGGGTGATTGAGACTGGGCGTGGTGGCACACACCTGTAATACCAGCACCTGGATATTTCTTTTCTTTTTATTTATTTATTTTTTTGGTATTTTAGGGAAGGGTCTACAGGATGTTCTGGGTCTCATTACTAGATCAATTCGTGTTGCTTTAATCTCCATGCTTTGAATTACCAATCATGTTCAACATGTTTTTCATGTATTTATTTGCCATTTATATATCTTCATCTGAGAAGTGTGTTTATCTCAGATCCCCATTTTTGGATTGAGTCTTTGAATTTGAGAAGGCTGATTTTTTCAATTCTTTATATATTTTCGATAGAAGTCCTTTGTCTGAGGGACAATTGGTTGGAATTTTCATGCTCTGTTGGATGTCTTCAGACTCTGTTGGTATTTTCTTTTTATGGGCAAAAACTTTAATAACATGATATCCAAGGTGATGACATTGAAATACTTCCCCTGAAGCTTTGGTTTTATTCATGAACTACCCCTAAGTCTTCAAGATTTCTATCGCCTTTTCTTCCAGTAGATTTAGTGTTTCTGCTGTCATATTTAGATCTTTGACCCATGTTGACTTTAGTTTAGTGCATGATGATAGACATGCATTAATTTTCATTTTTGGCATGTAGAGAGCCAGTTTTTCCACCACCATTTATTAAAGAGGCTATCTTTCTTCAGTGAACATGTTTGGTCTCTTTGTCAAAGATAAGGTAGCTGAGTATATTTGAGTATATCTGTAATTGTGTCTGCATCTTCTAATCTGTTCCACTGATCCTCAAGACATTTTTCCCCCCGTATCATGCTGATTTAATCACAATACCTTTGTAGTACAATTTCAAGTCCTGGACTGTGATGCCTCCTGCTTTGCCTTTGTTGCTCAGGATTGCCTTTCCTATTCTAGATCTCTTCTGTTTCAATACAAATGTTAGGATTGTTTTCTCTAGATTTCTAAGGTATGTTAATGGTACTTTGATTGGGATTGCATTAAATCTGTCTAACAATTTTGGGAGTATGGCTATTTTCACGTTAGTGCTTCCTATACACAGGCAAGGGATAGTTCCATCTATCTATCTATCTATCTATCTATCTATCTATCTATCTATCTATCTACATTTTTGGGTGGTGCTGGGGATTGAACCAGGGTCTTGTACATGCAAGGTAAGAGCTCTGCCACTGAGCCAAATCCTCAGCCTTTTATTTAAAAAAAAATTTTTTTTTTTTGGTACAAGGAATCAAACTTATAACCTTACACTTGCCAGGAAGGTGTTGAGACATTGAGCTATATCCCTGGTCCTATCTCTAAATTTTCTGATATCTTTTTTAATCTCCTTTTTTCAGAGTATTATAATTTTCAATGTGTAGATCTTTACTTTCCTTGTTACATTAATTCCCAAGTATTTCGGTTTTTGGTGATGCTGTTGTAAAGGGTTTGATTTCGCTAATTTCTCTCAGTGAGATTGTTGTTTGTATATAAGAATGCTATTAATTTTTGAGCACTAAGTTTGTGTCTAGGGGGAAACTACCCACTCAGGCTCCCCCTCCTGTCCCTCTCTCAGGACAGAAGCTTTCTTTCTCTCAATAAATATATTCTCCTCATAAAAAAAAATTTTGTGTCCAGCTATGCTATTGAATTTGGTTATCGAATCTAGAAGTCTTTGGCAAAGCTTTTTGGATCTTCTATGTAGAGTATCATGTCATCTATAAATAATGGTAGACAAATGATAATGGTAGATAAAGAATAAATGATAATCTTTTGTTATCATTATTCTTTTTATTTCTCTCTCTTGCTTAATTGCTCTGGCTAATGTTTCCCGGACTATATGGAATAGGAATGGTGATAGTGGACATCTTCATCTTGTTCCTGATTTTAGAGTGAAAGCTTTCAGTTTTTGTCCATTTAGTACAATGTTGGCTGTTGGTTTCTCATAGATGGCTTTTATCAAATTGAGGTAAAGACCATCTATTCTAATTTTCTGTATGGTTTTTATCATGAATGAGTGTTGGGCTTTATCAAAACCTTTTTCTGAATCTAATAAGATGATCATATGATTTTTGTCTTTGGCTCTGCTGATATGTTGTATTACATTTATTGATTTGCATATGTTGAACCTTCCCTGCATTCCTGGGATAAATCGTACTCGGTCATGGTACATGATCTTCTTGGTGATTCGCTGCATTCTGTTCACTAGTACTGTATCCAGGATTTTTGCATCTACGTTCCTTAGGGAGATTGGCCTGTAGTTCTCTTTTTTGGTTGGGTCTTGTCTCCAGGAATGAGTTATGGAAAATTGTTTCTCTTCCAATTTTATTGAAGAATTTGAAAAGAGTTGGCATTAAATCTTCTCTAAATTTCTTGCAGAATTTAGTTGTGAATCCATCAGGACATGTACTTTTCTTTGTTGGTAAATGTTTTACTAGATTTTCAATTTTATTAACTGATATTGAGTTATTCAGAATTTTTATATGCTCTTGATTCAGCTTTGGTAATTCATACATTTCTAGGAATCTTTCCATTTCTTCTGTGTTTTTCATCCTATGCCAGTAAAGATTTTCAAAGTCGGGACTGACAATCATCTGAATTTCCACAAGATCTGTAGTGATTTCACCCTTTTTATTCCTCATGGAATGAATTTTTTTCTTTCCTTTTTTTGTTGAAGGATCGGGATTTATCAGTTTTACCTATTCTTTCAAGAACAAACTCTTCATTAATTTTTTGTATTGTTTTCTTAGTTTCCATTGTGTTAATTTCTGCTATCTTTACAATTTCCTCCTTTCTGTAGGCTTTGGCTCTAATTCCTCTTCTTTTCCTAGAAGCTTGAGGGGCAGTATGTGTTTCTTTATTTATGCTCATTCTGTCTTCTTGATGTGAGAGCTCACCACTATAAAATTTCCTCTTATAAATGCTTTCATTGTACCACACAGGTTCTAATATGTCATATTTGCATTTTTACTTGATTGTAGATATTGTTTAATTTCTTCTTTTATCTCATCTGTGACCCATTGGTTGTTTAATTTTCATGTATTTATGGAATTTTTGCAGTATCTTTTGTCAATTTCCAATTTCATTGTACTATGATTAGATTATATGCATGGGATAATTTCAGTTCCTTTGCATTTACTGAAGCATGTTCTATGGGGTAGTATATGGTCTATTTTACAAAACATTGTGTACAGCTGAGAGGAATGTGTATTCTGATGTTGTTGGGTAGAACACTTTGTAAAGGTCTACAAGGTACACACTATGTTCACAAGTTTGCTTCAGTTCTATTATTTCTTTGCTTGTTTTTGTTCTAGTTGATCTATCTCTTTCTAAAACTGGGGTGTTAAGGTCCCTCATTACACTTGTGTTACCATTTATTTGATTTTTCATGTCTATTAATATTTGTCTTATATAACTGAGTGCTCCCACTTCAATGCATATATATTTATGCCTATTATCTCTTGCCCTTGAAATTTTCCTTTAACATGTATACAGTGTCCTTCTTCATATCTTTTGATCATTCATAGTTTGAAGTTCACATTGTCTGCAAACAGAATAGCTACACTTGCTTTTTTCTTGGTTCCTATTGCATGAAGTATTGTTTTCCATACTGTGACTTTCAGTCTACAAGTTTCTTTTAGAGTTAAATGTGTTTATTGTATACAATATATTATTGGCTATTGTTTCTTGATCAATTCTGCCAATCTATTTTTTTTTTATTGGTGAACTGAGGCCATTTACATTGATAGGAATAACTGAATGCATTGGCTTATCTTTGTCATGTTTGTTTCCTGCTGTTGGTCTCCTACATTTCCCCTCTATTTAATTGCATACCCTGCCTGGTGGTTTCTTCCTGATATTCTTGGAATTGTAATCATTTTTATTTCTATCTAGAATGTTTTTCAGTATTCTTTGTAGGGTTGGTTTGATGATTATGAATTTCTTCAGTTGTTCTTTTTCATGAAATTTCTTCATTCATTTTCTAGTCCATCACCTTAACCACTTGGCCATGACTACAGTAAATTTCTCTTCATTCATTTTGGAAGACAGCTTTGTAAGGCACATCAATCTGGGTTTTATTTCAGGACTGAAATACTTCACTCCAAGCTCTCTTGACTAGAGGGTTTGTATTGAGAAGTCAGCCATGATTCTAATGGACTTTCCTTTATAAGTGATTATTTTTTTCTCTAACAGCTTTGAATATTCTGTTTTTCTGCTCAATTTATGAGATTTTAATTGTTATATTTCTGGGCATACATTTATTTTGGTCATGGCTGATTGGAGTTCTATATTCCTTTCTTACTTGTATCTCAGATTCTGTTCACATGCTTGGAAAATTCTCTGCTACAACTTCTGCAAAGAGTCTTAGTCATTTGTGTTGATTCCTGCTTTTTCATTGACACCTATCAATCTTATATTATTTTTGTTTTCATCATCTTACAATTATTGAATTCTTATTTCCTGGCCCCTTGTTATTTTAAGAGATCTTATCTTTTGTAATTGATAGCCATGAGTCTGTCTTCAAGGTCTAAAAGTCTATCTTCAGTTTCACTCAAGGAGTTTTGTCAGCTTTCATTTCCTCTATATCTCTTTGACTCTGCTTCATGCGATCTATTTCTTTCCTGTATTGCTCATTCAAGGAGTCCGTCATTTTTCTAATCTCCTCCATTTTTTTTTTATCAATATCTTCTTTAGAAGCAGTTAGAAACCCTTCTACTGCAGTGTTTTTTTCAGATTGGGTTTCCTGCTTATGTTTCTGTAGCTGCTTCTTTACTTCATCTGCTACGAGTTCTGAGAGTTCTTTTTTAATTTCAGAAAAGAATTGCGCTCTGATTTCTTCTATATCTTTCTGCTGCTGCTTATTTACTATCGACGCTCTTGATTCATGCATTTGAGCCGAGCTAGTGTCCTCTGCGTTTGTTCTGGGTGGGCACTGGGTTTCTTCCATATGTTTCTGCATTTGATTCTTTAGTGCAGATGTTATTAATTCAAGGATTTCTTTTTTCATTTCCAATCTGAGGTCTTCTATATCTTTCTGCAGCTGTTTTATTTCAGAAGCGGTTGATTCATTGCTTTCAGCTGTGTGATTTCCAATTTGTTCTGTGTTAGTGTCCTCTGCACTTGTTACGGGTGGGCTTGGGTTCTGAGGTTGCATTTTGTTCCTTCTCGTCATTTTGTGTAGCACTGTCTTCTGCCCTTTGTTATAGATCTTTGCTGTAGTTATAACCTTCACACGTACTGAAGTTCAGGTGGAGCTCTACAGATTTTGGAGTTATCCAGCTGTGTCTGGCTTAGGTATGGCTGCTGTGCTCAGCTCCTTCCCACTGCGGACCTGGGCTAGGATTGGGTCTGGGGGTTCCTGGAACTCGGCAGAAATTTCTACTCGGTGGAAGGGGTGGGGCAGGTAAGGTGGAGTGGTGGGGGGTGGCCCGAGGGGGTGGGAGAGGGTCCTGCCTATGCTGCGCCTGGGCTGGGACTGGTCCCGCTGGCACAGGGTAGCAGGAAGCTCTCCACACACTCACCGGACCTGGGCTAGGACTGGGTCAATAAGGTTTTTTTTTTGGTTCCTCGAATGCCTTCAGGGCACTTTTGGCCAGCGGGAGAGTTGTGAGGTTCGAATTCCAGCAACCTGAGGCTGACAGCTTTGTGGAAGCAGCCACTTAAAGGACTGAGCTAGGGCCAGGCTCCCCTTTGTCAGCTTTCAATGGAGTTTTTAATTTGTTGTCTATACGTATGAATCTGTTTCATGTATTCTATTTATTTCTTACCTTATTCATTTAAGGTTTTCATCACTTTCCTATACTCCTCTATTTTTTTTTTTTTATCTATGCCTTCTCTACATATGCTGGGCAATTCCTTTATTATGATTGTTATATCTATTTTTACCTGAGAGATTATTTCTGATATGATTTCCTCTATAGCCTCATGAATTTGTTTCTTTGCCTCAGTTGCTGTCATTTCAGAAATTTTAGGTGTGTGCCTTCCCAATTTTTTCTATGTTAATATCTTCTGGACTTGTTCTGGGTGGGCTAGGGATCTGAGATCACATTTTACTTCTTTGTCTTGTCATCTTTATATTTCAAAAATAAAAAAATTATTTTGTTGTCTCCAATAATACTTATGCATTTTTGTACTAGGGTATATCTCTAGTATCAAGGCCTCTCTAGGAAAAGTCTGTCCTTCAGAATGTCTTCTATGTGTAGCAGTTTCTGGTTTATCTGCCACAAAATCCTACCTTCCCAATTAATTAAGCATGGGAGGTTGGTAACTGTTTGGCTCAGACCCCAGTCCTTTGGTGCTAAGCTGTTGTGAGGTTATTACCCCAGATCTTCCCTGTATTGTTACAGAAAGGAGAACAACTGATTACAGCAGATATGACATCCTAGCTAAAGTACTATAATTAGTAGTAAGAACAGCATCAAGCACAATTTAGAAACTGAAAAACTGTGGTAACTATTGATTTTGTATTTAGATCTTAGGAGTGAAGTCTATAGTATACTACAAAACCAATCATAAATTAGGAGTTTGTATGCAAGGCTTTTCCCCTTAGTAGAATGATTTTACATGAGGGAGGGTTATGGAGTGTATAAAACAAAAATTACTTGAAAAAGAAACAGAAGCAAGGCTGGAAGACAAAGGATCACATAACATATATTAACTTTTATAAAGAGGTATATTTTGCCATACTTAAATCCTTTTATTGTGGTATCTTTATGTTTTCAGGCATTAAAGAGAAAATTTCTATTTTATCCTTACAAATGAACTTAAAAATTACCATTGTCCATGTAAATAATTCAAGTTTCAATTTCATAAGACATATAAATTAGTTTTGCTATTTGCACACCTAGAATTCACAGTCTGCGGTACAGCTATATCAGTTACAGGGGCACAAAAACAAATCAGTCACCAAGAGTAATGCAGATGCCATCTATTAATGCCTACTTTGGTCTGGTTTTGTCCTGTCCCTAACTCTTTCCATTTGTTACCTCATTAATACTTAAATAGGTCAATAGAACATATACCTCTCTCATTCTCACTTTATAAATGAAAACGCTGAGGCAAGCAAAGTAAGGTGTTTACCAAGGACCACAGCAATGCAGTCATGGTAGCTGGGATATGAATCCTGTCTTGCAACTCCATACATTTCAAACCAAAAAAAAACCTTGCAATTTTATTTTCACTGCAATTTTATAATAAATTTACAGCTTACCAAAATCTGTATTATTTCCTCGGGTCTTTTATCTTCAACTGGTATTCCATTCACTTCTCTAAGTTCATCACCAACGTGAATAAGACCTGTGAAATACAAAATTTGCTACAACAGTGCTGTTACATAAAATAAAATGCAATTTGTAAAGGTCTCTCCCAAATGAATCATCATTACTTCCCTTGACAGATTATGGATTAGAAAGACCTTCACACTTCTCAGCCTTAGGTTCTATGCCTCTCCACTACACCAAACCAAAGCAACACAAAAAATGCTTATAAAAAAATTATAATACTATGTGAGTCTTTGTCTAGAAATGTACATTACTAATATCTCATGAAATATTTTTTTAAGTTGCATGCATTTAGCAGTAGTTTTCAAATCAGAAACACTGAATCAGGTGTTAACATAATGTTGCAAGCCTGTATACATTGAAGCCAGTGAGATTTATCTATCATGTACTTATGTAGGTTCCCAAATTTCAACACAGAAAAATATCTTATGACTTGCTTTGCTGTATTATATCCAGAGATATTTTAAAACTTACATTGGAAGCATCCCAAAACCCACTACAACTGTGTCTACTTAATTACCACTTAAACCTCACCACTTCTGTGTGCGGCCCCTCCTCTCATGACTCTAGCAACAACGATTGCTCCCGTCTGCTCATCCTTCTTAATGGTGGCTCCCTTTGAAGGAAAAAGAGAAAAGAAGTATGAGTACACATGCATACTATTCAGCAGAAAGGCGAGGGGAAAACATGGACATTCTGCTAGAAAGAATGAAAATGATGACAAAATAATTAAAGAATAAGGCTGGAGGAACAGACCTCATGTCATCTGTCTTACAGATATACCTTTCTATCTACAGAAAATTTTATCTACACAGCATCTAAGGGTTTTAGTGCAACATAAAGACATTTAAAATTATTAATCTTTTAAAAATTGTGGGAAATAAAAATACCTTCTTTCAATTATAAGAATATCTTGCATTAGCTATGCTAGAATAGTGTTTGCTTTTACCCTTTCACAGCACTTTCTCAATTTTACCTTTATAATACCTTATAAAGAAGATGGACTAATTATTGTTGTGTGACTGGGCAAAAGATCATGTAAATCAGAGCTAAGATCAAGGTCATGGGCAGGAGTCTCCCTCAGTGGCAGAGCACGTGCTTAGCACACTTGAGACTCTGGGTTCCATTCCTGGCACTTTCAGGTCAATGATTCTTCTCTTACAGTAAGCTATTATAGTAAAAGAGCTCAACAATAACAATAAAGAAAAAGAAAAGTATTAAAACCTGAAAATTAGCTCTATATGTTGCTCAGCTAAATAGAAAAAGATCTACCACTATATGTATTTAATGAACTCAGACTGTACCTAGCACAAATAGAACTAAATTTTTTCTTTTTTATGTATTTGGTTGTTGCAGGGCTCACTACACAGGCTCAGACTTATGGTTATCTTCCTGTTTTTCAGTCTCCCTAGTGCTCGGATTATAGGCATGTGCCACTAGGCCCAGACTCTGGCCAGCTCAGCCCACCCTGAGGGTGGAGCTGGTGCAGTATGTGGTGCCAGGGATTGAATCACAGTCCCTGCACTTGCCTAAGCTTGCCTAAGCAGGCACTTTAGTCCACTAAGCTACCTCGCTGGTCCAGAACTAATCTTTTGACATAAGATTCAGGCCCAATCCCAAAAGGAATCCAAACCTCTTCATTTATAGATACTCAGAGGCAAACTGCTTTATAAAAATAAGAGGCCCTCTGATAAGCTTGAGGTCCTGAGTTCAATTTCTGGTACAAACCCCCTCTCCACAAAGAAAGAGTAACAGGCACAAATGGCTAGCTTTTGCATGACTTTCCACCCAAGAAATAGTCATTGGTTTAGGAAACTACACCATGTTGCATCAGATAGCTGAGAAGTCTACATGTTTTTTTCCAGAGCTGGGAATGGAACTCAGGTTGCTCTACCTGAGCCACACCACTATGGACCTGTGAAAGATAAGCTTCAAGGCATGGCAGAAATCATTCTGAAGAGGTAGAGTTTTTCTTAAGTTTGTCAATAAGCACAAATATATTATTAATGAGCAGATATGTAAGCAGTGTGAATCAATTTATAATAACTATACTTTGCATCTGACAACTAGCAGCTATATATAATAACAACAGTAAAAATAAAATTTGTGGCATTTTTCCTTAACTATGTGTGCTTAAATAAGCATGTCTCCAGAGAAATGGACCATAGATCCATCAATTACTGGTATTTCTTTTTAATTTAAGTAAGAAAGTTAAGGCCACAATGACTGGAAATAAAATGTTTTTGATACCACTACTGGGGGGCCAGGGAGATAGCTCAGTAGAATAAGCGCTTGCCTGGCAAGCACAAGCATCTGAGTTCAATCCCTGGTTCTGGGAAAAAAAAAAAAAAAAAAAAAAAACTATTAGCTTAATTGGATCAACTTTCATTCTTTTAGGATATAACTCAAACTGCCCACCAAAATATGTCAAGTGGCACAAAAGTCTATTTTTAAATTAATTAACTTATTTATTTGGTACAGGCTCTCACTACGCAGCTCAGACTCACAGTAATCCTTCTGTCTGAGTCTCCCCAGCACTGGAGTACAGGCGTGCACCACCACACCCAGTTTCAGGGCTGACAGGACACACCCGGGTTTCCAGGCTGGCACAGCATGCAATACCGGGGATGCAACCTGGGTTCTAGTGCTTGCCAGGCAGGTGCTTGGACTGCTGACACACCTCCCCAGCCCTACCTGTCCAATTTAAAGAAGTTGAATCCCAAATGACCATAATTTTCCTAAAATCACATAATTAGTATATAGCAAAATCAGGACTTGTCTGAAATAGTCTGACTAGCTGATCTTCATTTGCATTCACTATTGCTCACCCTATGTGTTTCTATAACCTTCTGTTCTTCAGCTTACTTTGCCTGCAGGTGTGCAGATCACACTCCCCTATCACAGGGTGAAAATCATTTTACAGTTTCTAAGGCTAGGAGAAGGCAGGTGATTGTTACCTGGGCCTCATTCAATACTCGCTTTCTATGAATTCAGCTGCCACATGCAAGTCCTAACCACAGCCACACTGTGGGGAAGCCCAAGCTTCTCAGAGACGCCACCTGGCAGTCATCATGCCTGACCAGCCCAGCTCTGCAGCTTCAGTCCAGGCCACATTGTGTAACACAGGGGCTCTCAGACGGCCGCAGCCCCAGCTACCATCACAGGACTGCAGGTACCGGGGACTGCAGATGGTGACGCCCCAGCCAGACTCACCACCTGCGGACCTGTGAGACAAAACTGTGCATTGTCTTAGCCCAAATATCTGGATTATGAGCACATCATATTTATAACAGAGAACTACAAAACAGGAACAAATCTTTCTCTTTCCATTATACAATAGTACTTTACTGGTGTGCTATACAGAAGCACTCAGTTTCTTGTGTTTAATGTTAGCTCCTCTAATTTTTTTCTATGATACAACAAAATCTACAAATGTTTACTGAAAACTTGTTATGAGCCAGACAGGATCCTAAAGACCTGTAACACACTGGCCAAAACTTATTGAGCTTATAATGTAACAAAGGAGAGAGAATACAAACAAGAGAGGAAATCATGTGTACTATCTTCTATATTAGAATGCAGTAAACACTGGAGGCAGGAGGAGGTAGGAGGACAGTAAGGAAAGTCTGGACACCACAGAAAGTGGAGAGGAGACTACGTGAAAATATGGGTCTCATTGAGAGAGTGACATTTGCATAAAGAAAGATGGAAAGAAGTGACAGAGATAGTGTTACACAAAGTGGAAAAAAGCAGAAACAGCAAATGCCAAGGGGAGTCTGAGAGTGGAAGGTATGTTCAAGGGAGAGCAGGGGGTGCAGCTGCAGCAGAGTAAAAGGAGAAGCAGTAGGAGACAAGGCCAGGCGGGCAGGGCTCTGGCAGGCAGCATTCTGCAGACCTTTGAAGGAGGGCACTGGGTTGGGCTCAGGATGAAAAAGAGGGAGTGTGCAGGACCATGAGCAGCAGGTAGTAAGGGTAAAGGACTCTAAAATGGTCCAGATGTGTCATATATGTGTATTAATTCCCCAAAATGAATGTAACCATTATGTATTACAAATATAAACTAACAAAAAAATTAGCAAAGGCTAAAGCAATGAAAGAAACAGGTTATTGCAATTATCCTGAAAAGAGATGATGCTGGCTTAGATCTGAGTGGCAGGAACAGAGGTAATAAAAAAAGCACTGTGCATGTGTTGGTTTTTTTCTTTTAACTTTTGATTTTATTTCTTTGGTACAATGTCTCCTTAAGTAGCTTGGACTCATAGTGATCCACCAGTCTCAGCCTTCCCAGGACTGCAATTACAGCTGTGTACACCAAACTGGGTTTAGAGGCCAGCAAGGCACACCCAACATTCCAGGGCTGGCACAGCATGAGGTGCCAGAGGTCAAACTCAGGACCTTGTGTTTGTCAGGCAGGTGCTTAGACCACCAAGTTATCCTCCAGCCTGTGGATATGTTTTTGGTACAGCCAAAAGGATTTCCCAGTGAACTGTCTATGGGATGTGAAAGAAAAGGATCAACTGCTCCTTTGGGCTGAGCAACTGGAGTGACTGAATGGCCATCAATCAGAAGGGGGACAGACTATTAATGGGTAGAACAGGTCTGAGATCTAAACCAGGAGTATATTTTTGAACATGTGAACACCAATATTTTTATAAGCTATCCAAATGCTGCTATTGAGTAGATAGGTGGATACACAAATTAAAGATCAAGAGAAATCTCTGGAAAAGAAATAGCTTTGGGAGTCACTGGCACATAGATGTTTTCTAATACCATGGACAGAATGAAAACATTTCTGTAAAGTATAAGGAAAAAGAGTCCTCCAAAACTTAAGGGTTATTTTCCTATAGATATGGACCCTAAAATAAAATGCTTGCCACCTTTTGATTCTACTCCTGCTGGAAGGTAAACTAAGGACCTGAGAAACAATTTCACTTTCTATAGAATAGACCATCACTAGATTCAGTCTTCATCCAGAGCCCTTCCTTCTTGTTCAGTGGCACACAGAAACATTGAAACATCATGCAGGATTTGGAAGCAAAATTATTTAACATGGACAGAGCTGATCAGGACATGTTCCCAATGTATCAGTCCTTGATCTCAGGTAATTTAGGGCTTATGTGGGGTGAGAGGTATAGAATTAAAGTATTCGGCAGTTATTTATTGGCTATATCTTATGTCATTATTACTGATTGACCTAAGCGAAAACTACATCATATATATTGCAAGTATGCACGTTCTAACTCCGGGCCAGTTTGGAGCTTTACAGGAATGCTAACAGAAAGCACGTAGGTTCAGGGTGGGGTAAGCTCAGAGTTTGGGAAGCAAGTGCTTGAGATAACATATGGGTTCAGGGTAGGGTGAGTTAGAGAGGGAATATGTACTTGGCATTGATGGAAGACAGGAAGACAAATTTGCTCAGGGGAGTGGCAAGGTATAGGCTGGCATAGGACCCCAGAAATAAAGATTAACTATTTTCCTCGTGACTTGAGAACTTCTATATCCAAATTGCTTTCCAAAACCTATTATGACAAAAACAAAATTATTATCACTGCAAAAAAAAAAAAAAAACATATTATGACACTGTATCTCTAGCACAACTTATTTGTATAAAAGGTT